GCAACTTAGCATGCTCTTTTCTTCTTGAGAAGATGGTTTTAAGCCACATGGCCTCCATGTGGAAGTGATTTTATCTCCTAATTAAGATCACATTTATGAATGAAAGCAGAGGAAGGAAGCCAGCTTGAATAGGGTATAACACCAAAAGTCACGGTAAATAGGAAGTCTTTGAAGGACGTAAGATGAAGGTAGTTGCAGTTTCGAAGGAAGTGGTTTTATAGACCGTGTTTTGTCTTGATTGTTTTGGGATCATTATTGGAGTGGTGTCTGAGACTCATTAAGGGTTCACTTCTGACATATTTATGGAGAAAGACAGGTTTTTCTGGATTTAGTAACACCTCGGTTGTTACAGGTTAGCCAAAATGTATCCCTAACCTCTTATGAAGAGTAATATCACTTACCTTCTAGACGTTTTCCCTGCATAATATTTGAACCATAAGATTTTAAACCATCAGGCTTTTTGAATATAGGCCAAAATTTTTAAAGGAAAGTTTCCAAATTACTTTAGTCTCTCGGGTGGTGTGTACATGAGAGAGAGAGAGAACCCCCAGTGGGGCATGGTCACGCCTCAATCCTTTCTCCTTCACTTCTCCATCTTGTCAGGATTTTGGGTGCATAGCCCCAGGACTGGATTAGACCCACTGTTGGCTATTTGGGATCCAGCTCTCTTAACTAGGCTACAAGGTCAGCACAGAAAAATTTGTTGAGTATTTTTAATTAAAAAATGGGTAAAAAGAGAGAAAGAAAGAATTTTGAGTTTTAGTACCTCTGTGAGCATTATTTTTTTTAAAGTTTATTTCACATCAATTTTTTTAAAGTTTATTTCATCCATGAGAGAGAAAGAAAAAGACAGACATAGACAGCATCTTCAACAGAAGCTTGATGCTGCTATCCACCCCTAGCTTCAGCCAGCCCTGGATCATGAGCACATGCCTGCCCTCTGGCATACTCAGGGAAATCGCCAGATGCGAAAACGGAACCTTCCCATCTAGGTCAGCCTCAAAGAGTGTTGCGTTTTACTGCTGCACCACTGTCTGGCACCTGTAGGCATTATTAATCAGGACCAAAACAGAGAAAAGTGAAAAAGAAAACAATTTCACTGATGGAATTTAAGTGTATGAGTTGTCCTTGCTGAAGCCAATTTGTAGAGGAATGTTTTGTTTTAGTTTGTCATGGACCAATTTATTTTACTCCTGTGGAAGTAGATACATTGATAGCTAAATTTCAATCCCAAAAGAATGGTTTAATTAAATTTTCATTCCATTTGAAGGTCTATTAAAATTTAATGCTATATACATAAACAAACATAGCAAACACAGGCAAGACTATACCTAATGGTGTTTTTTTTTTATGGTTGAAAATCAATTGTGTGTAATAGAAAAACTAAATTCAGGTTTGCTCAAAGTGCATTCAAGGCTGGTATTATCATCTTTGAGTTAATTGAACATAATTTACATTTTCTATTTCAAGAGCTACCATGGAAGATCAAAATTTAAAAACAAAACCTGCCTGCTTTTTAAAAAAATTATGTGTGTATATACATACTTACACCTACATAGCACTCATGGGAACAGCTTCTAAATTGAGTTTTATCCCATTATAGATTAATTGAAATAGAATAATATACATTTAGTCTTTTTTTTTTTTTTTTTTAGCGGTTTTGTTCGCTATAGGGCGTGTGCGCTCGCCAGACAGACAGAGAGAGACATAGAGACAGAAAGCAAGAAATCACCCCCCAGGGGGGATGGACACGCCGCTATCCCTTCTCTTCCATTCTCCTCTTGGGATCTTGGGCACGCACGCACACGTGCCCGGCATGAGTCGGGGACGCGAACCGCGGTCGACTACATGGGAATCCAGCGACATAGCCATTACACTAACTGCTGGTTCCCTACATTTAGTCTTGAAGGTGTTTGGAGGAGTTTGTTATTCAAGATGTGCTATATTCAAACCCTTGACAATCTATAATAACTTTTAATACAAAAAGGGTACTAGAATCAGAATTCTATATTCTGTTATAGATGTTGTGAAATACAGCTCCAAAATGAATTTAAAATTTCCCTTTAGCCTTTTCACATTGTAAGACAATAGGATATATGTGTGGCCTTATAAAAATCTCTTGTTGGTTTATGTTTAAAGTTTTCTTAATGAATGCATAAATGAATACAGAATGCTCTGTGTTTGTGTGTTAAGTGTGTGTGTGTGTGCATGTGTGTGTATGGATTTGTGCAGGTATCCAGGTAGTTGCAGTCTTAAACAGATAGATTACCTCCCCCTCCCCAACATGCCTCCCGGACAATATGGATAAGACTGAGAAGCTAGAGGCAGGAAGAAGAAAAAGAAAGCACCAAGAAGCAACATTGACTGATCACTGATGTTGAGGGGAAGAATCGAGTGAGTTGACCAGCTTCTTTCCATTAACTCCCCATAGCCCTAGTTGCTGTCCCTCCTCCCAGCTACATTCTCACTTCTTTACAGCTCTGAGAAATCAGAGGAGGTTTTTAAGCATCAGAGTATGGAGGAAAACGTTCATTTTCTGACTCAGAATTTCAGAACCACACTTAAACATCAGTAAGATATTTACAAGATATTCAAGTGAGCAAACTAAACCCGGAAGAATATAATCACTTTGCTAGTCAGTAGGAAAAGCAATATTAATATCGAAGACTCCAGATTTCCAGTTCAATATTATTTTCATAAGCACATTCTGGGAGAACGTTAGTAAAAATTAAACCAAGAACTTCTTTGTGATTAATCTCTTCACTGTAGGAAAGTCTCTCAACATCTGCCACTAAGGTGGAGGAAGAGAAAGATACTCAAACCAAACAGGGATCCTTTGTCTGAAAAAGAAAGGCATTGCCCCAGCAGAGGAGTCATCTGCTATTTTGTGAAGTTTACCCTTGATCTTTTTAGAGGTAATTTTAGAAGTCTTCATCAAACAAAGCCAGTCCCTTTCCAGATGGTGCCTTACACACCCAATGATCCCAGAGAATGAGAGCCTGTCTCCCTCGTGTGTGTTTTATGTATGTTATAAGCACTTCAGATTGATTGTGAATCTTTGGCCTTGGATTGCGCTTGGTGTCACAGGTCTTTCTGGTTTCACTTATGTATGCATGGGAGGTGGGGGTTGCTTTTTCAGTCTTTGAAGCTGTTATAAATGCAACTTGACCTTCTAAGCCATGTAAAACCATCTACCAGACTGTTTTAAAACTCCAAGCTTTAATAGGAATCTTTAATAGAAAAGAAAAAACATTTTTTGATAGTCAACATTATTTATAGTTCTCTATTCCAAAAATTAATGTACAGACCATATGTACAATTTGACCATACTAAATTTACCTGTCCTGAAGAGAGAAATTTTGCTACATATAGGTGGACATACTGATGAATACCACATACTGTCAATAAGTATATTACAATATGTGGGATTGTCCATTGTGAAACATCATTCTTTAAGTATGTATGGAAGACCTCCTATGTGACAGATGCCATGGGTTGGCCCTGGGGATTCATTGGTGAGACATAAATGTTCTCATGGAGCTTACACAATTATTCTCTGCAAAATGGTACCTTTTCCAAGGACAGTATATAATTCTGAGTTCTGGAGTCTCTTTTTTTTGTCTATTTATAGATTTATGTTTGTAAGGAATATAAGTTTTTAATTAAAAATATAACAAATACATAGAAAGCCACACAAATCAAGTGTATAACCCAGAGACTTGTCACCAAGTGAGCACACCCATGAAACCTGCAGCCAGGTCAAAGGACAGAACATTACCATCCCACAGAAGCCCCCTTTTTAACTTCTTTCAGTTCCTCACCTTCCTAAGATAACCACTTTTCTGACTTCTCACACCCTAGATTAGTTTTGCCTTGTTTTGAACTTCAAGGAAATGGTGTATGATCTTCTGTGTTTGCCCTCATTTGCTCAATATTACGCTTATGCGGTTCTTCTTAGTTGTTTCATGTAGTCAGGTTCATCCATTCTCCTTACTGTATAGTATTCCACTGTATGTTATAATTCATTTATCCACTTTGTTTTTAAAGACAGTTGGGATAGTTCCTTTTGGGGCTATTGCCAACAGTGACACTATTAAGATCCTTTTGTATGTCTTTAAGTTAACATTTCTGTTGGTTATATGCCTATGAGTTAGGATGCTGGGTCTTATCACCAAGCAGTTTTTCAAAGTGTTTGTACCAAGTTATAATCATACCAGCAGTGTATGAAAGTTAGTTACTCCACATCCTTGCCAAACTAGATAATATATACTTTTCATTTGTATCTGTACTTGTAAGTTTTAAAAAGGTAGAATAGAATGACTGGGACATTGTGATAAACAATGAGACATCTTTAAGTTTATAGCAGTAATGCTAATCCCTTGCATTTTGGTCTTTGCCAGTGATTCAGGATGGTATATTAAATTACAAATTCTCCTTAACTGTCGATGAAATCAGAGCCACCATTTGCAACAGAAAATCCTACAAAAGTTTGCCTTTCTTACATCTGGAGTTATGGCTTTTTCAAGCAGCAGTGACAGCCCACCTTTTTTCTCCAAGAGGAATGAGTAAATAAATAAATAATTTCAGGCTACTTTTTTGTTATTTGAATTGGAAAATGATCTTATTAAGTATTGGGGATAAACATACGTTTGGTTGTGAGATAACCTGCCAGATCAAGTAGAAGTCTGGAAGTGAGAAAGATGAAGTAACCATTGGCCAGTAAAGTATTAACATCACATGTTTGAGAAATGGCTAGAGGAAGACAGCCGTCATCCTGAAGTTAGCTTGCTAACCATATTGTGTAAAACTAGGAGGCCTAACTTCTAGACCAAGTCCTTTAAGAGGTGCCGTATTAGCAGCTCACCTAGGCTGTCATAGCACTTCCCTAAGGAGGAACTACAGATATAATGAACCAGGTCCAGGACTATTACAATAGAGCCCAACAGAAGTAAAGAACCTTATCTGTAGAAAACCATTGATGATTTCCTTTTTGTTTTCAGTCCAAGGTTTACACTCGCACACCAACCTTATATCTGGACTTCAAATTGGATCAAGGAGCAAAGCATTGTCAACCCATTCCTAAAGGTATGATGGGTTCTGGATTTAGTACGGGGGGTGGGGGGAGGAAGGCTGCTTTCCCTGGAATGTGCTTGTTTCTGAGCCTCGGCAGAAAGTTCTGCAAACTTTATGTTTAATTATGTTTAAACTAGCAAATACTGCTGGACCTTTCAAGTTAAGAAAATCAGCATGATTTCATAGAATGTTAGCACTAGACCTTCTGGGCTACATCCCTTAATTCACAGGTGTGGACACCAAGGTGCATAGATTAGTAATACTTGTTCAAGGCCACGTAAAGAATTTCTGGATGAGGTAAGCAAGGAAGATCCCCCATCGCCTGACTTTCCGACCCCCTCCTGACTTGCAGTGTTCCTGGAGGCACATTTGGACCTGCGTTTCTTATGAACATATGCATGCTTGATTGAGTTACAGGTTTTGCTTGATGTAGGTATTGTTAAGGAAGGCTTCCTTCAGATGGCATTTGAGGGCTGGCAGGTGGTGTGGTGGTTAAAGCGCTAAATTCCCATGTGGTCAACTGTGGTTTCAGTCCTGTACCTGATGGCTTGCTTTCTCACTTTCCCTTTCTCTCTGCTCTGTCTCTCTCAGGTCAAATTAAATAATAATAATAATAATAATAATAATAATAATAATAAATAAAATTAAATAAATAAATACAACATTTGACTACAGAGGATAATTAGAAAACTCCCAAGTATTTAAGACCCATTTTATTTTGGAAAAATGATCATACCCAAGATCATTAAGCATCAACTTTGGACCCATTATTTTGTTCTTTTTATTTTTCATTCACACAATTTTTTAGATTAATTCACTTAAACATATTCCTACACTGTAGATTATTTTTATAGCAATAAGCATGAGAGCACATGTGTTTTAGCTTTTTAGTGCTGTGGGTTTTTTTAATTTTTCTTCCTTTCTTCTTTCTTTTTAATTGCCAGAAGGCACATGCGTTCTCCGGAGAGAAAGAGAGAATTCAGCACCCCCTAATAAGGCATGTCATGCCATGATACTTTCATCTATTTTCCATCTCAAAAAGATTTGGGGCATGCACACACACGTGCCCAGTGTGTCCTTCAGCCTGCTGAAGTTGGGCCTCAAACTGAGGTCAGCCACAGCCACATGGGATCTGGCTCCCAATACACAGCATTTAATCATTGTATTAATGGGACCGATCACTGCTGTTTTTCTTCTACTTTTAAGTTTGCTTTCCTCCAATCTCTATTCCTCCCTATCCACCCGTAGCAGTAATATGTTATACATACACACACACACACACCCCTCCTAGATCTAGGGCATAGCCCAGATTTGTCCTTGAATTGTAACTTACTATATTTTTCTCAACATTTTTCTACCCTGACATATGAAGGATCTTCAAAAGGTTCATGAAAAATGTATATTATGAAAAAAAAAACTATGCATGGATTTAAATTTTGTTGCACCAAAATAAACGTGTACTTTAATTTTATTTTCCATTAGCTTTTTGAAGCTCTCTAATATATGTGCATGAAAATATACATAGATAGGGTTATTTTATTGTTTTACTAACATAGTATTATATTATAAAATACTTTTTTACATTTTTTTGGCTGAACAATACTTCATGGAAATTCTTCCCAATCTACTTGTATGGGCTCTTTCCTTTTTGTAAGTTTATTCATTTATTTCCTCCATGAGTGAGACAGGGAGACAAATAGAGAAAGAAATATGGGGAGACCTCATCCCTGACAGGGTCCCATTGCTGCAGTCCACCCCCCAGCCTTCAGCCAGCCCTGGATCATGGGCAAGGATGTGCCCCATGTTCTCAGGGAGGTCTCTGGACCTAAACCAGGAACTTTCCCACATGGTAATGCCTTGCAGGGCATTGCATTTACCACTGTGCTACTATCTGGCCCCATCATATGGGATTCTACTAACCCCCTCTCCATCATGGGTTTATTATAAGGCATTTAACTATTTCCTATCAACAGATACTCACTTGGTTCCTTGTGCTTGGCTACCTGCAAAGTGGTCTGCAGTGAACACCCTTGAACATCTGTCTTCCCATATGGGGATTTATTTTGATGGACAGGTTTCCAGGGATGGCAGGTGTATGCACATTTAGTTTCAAAAGCTGTTGTCAGGTTGTGACACAAAGAGGCAGTCATGCTTTCCATCAGCAGTGTGTAAGAGTACCAATTTCTCCATTGCCCCACCAGCAGGAAGTGTGTGGTTCATGTTTATTTCTGCTCTGCTCTTAGCCATCCCCCTGTATTGCTTCATGAGAGAATGTGCTTCTGCCAGTTTACAAAGCTGTACTTGTATTTATTTTGTCATTGTGAATTTTTTTTTGAGAAGTTTTTGCTATAGGGCACGTGCGCTCACCAGAAAGACACAGACAGAGAGATAGAAAGCGAGAAATCACCCCCCGTGGGATGGCCATGCTGCAATCCCTTCTCCTCCATTCTCCTCTTGGGATCTTGGGCATGCACGTACATGCACCCAGTGTGAGTTTAAGCCACTGGATCCAGGACTCAAACCGTGGTCAACTACATGGGAGTCCAGCGACATAGCCATTACGCCAACTGCTGGTCCTGTCGTTGTGAATTTTAAACCTGAGATTTGTTTTCACAAATGGTTTTGGAAGTCTACAAAAGCAAATAGCTTAGGGAACAGCAGTTAGCATAATGGCTATGTCGCTGAAATCCTATGTAGCCGACCACAGTTCGAATCCCGGACTCCATGGCTTAAACTCACGCCGGGCGTGTGTGTGTGCATGCCCAATATCCCGAGAGGAGCAGGGATTGTGGTGTGGCCATCCCCCCAGGGGGGAGGGGTGTGATTTCTCGCTTTCTATCTCTCTGTCTCTCTGTCTTTCTGGCGAGTGCATGTGTTCTATAGCAAAAACCTCTCCAAAAAAAAAAAAAATAGAGCAAATAGCTTAGAAATGCAAGTTTACTGTTGAGTCTGTGTAAACCCACCTTAAACAAGTCTGCTATAAACACAGCTATGAAGGAAAAGAACCTGCCTTTTCCAAGACATCACTTCCAGTTACACTGTGTTCTCACTTTCTGTTTCTCTCTCTCCCTCCTCCATCTCTCTCTCTCTCTCTCTCTCCCCCACGCCTCTCTCCCTCTCTCTCTATCACACACACACATGCACAAGTTTATGCATGCTTCCACTGCATTAGGTGATAAATCCAAAGCGTGACGCTTCCCTGTCAAATGTAAGACAAACAAGTATTATAAAACACTTACTATTTGCAGATTTGACAGTCCTGGCTTCCTGTAATCAGATGTACTGGATGATAAGAGTATGCCGCATAGAGTTTATTATGAAATTCTTCAAATAAAGGTCACCCTTTGTCTTTTTTTTTAAAAAACCTCCTTTCCAGGTTAAATTCCATCATAAACTCCAAGGGCTGTGTACATTCATTTTATTTGGGTGCTGTATCAAGTATTCCTTGAAATGTGTGGGCCATTGGCTGAGTCCTGGACATGTTTTGTTTATAATGTTTTGATTGTTTTGTTACTCATGGTAAAGTGATTTGACGTGGATGTCTGGATTATGTTTTGCTTTTGGCATACGCTTTGCAGTCTAATTTAAGGTTGACTTGGCTGTATCATTACCAGGCTAATTGGATAGAAATAGCAGCATACACTGCTACCATCCTATCCCTGATACCAGGAAAATGCAGATGTCCCAAGGGAAGTGGCAGTTAAGGGATATTGGAAACATTTCTCATGCATTGGACTAGTTTTATCTGAATTCCTTCCCATAAATAGTATTTGAATCGATTTTAACCATCTCTTCCTTCAGGCTAGACACGTTTCTGTTGGGTTGTGCTAATCTTGGGGAGAACAGATGTTTCACGCAGTGATGATTTGGAAGGCAGCTGATATCAGGAATTGAGCCGGACCATGCATCACTTACAAAGAATCCAATTTGTTGAGTTTCTGACAGTACGAGATTCCTTTCACATTGGCCACAGGTTTTTCATATTAGCTCTTGGCTAAAATAAGAATAAGTGGTTTGTTTTTATTTAATTTATTTTTGCAGTGACTTTGACCATATCTTGCAAGGCAATCTGATTTTCCCTGCTGTAAACCAATATACAGATAACACTGTTATCATTCATTGTGAAGGGCATAAATCTGCATCTCTAGGAAAATAGCAATCTTTTCCAAGAAAGGAAGGCCTCTGGTCCTTGTGTCCCCTTTGTTTTCTGGCATGGAAATTGGGCCCTCAACAGCCACTCTGTTTATATTTCTCCATCTTCTACCTCTGCTTCTGGATACTTAAAAACATGATCCGGAATGTTAAAATGAAGAACTGCTGTGGTGTTAAGAAAAACAAACCAAAAAAACTTGACTTCATGAGCCTTTTTGCTTTCTTCCCTTATTAACTATACTCAGAATGTATTTCATACATTATATTGGGTCATCAGAAAAGTCATTTTTGCATAGGAAAAGAGAAAAAATACATCATTAGTATTTTCTTTAAGGTATATGTATATTGATAAACAGAACTACTTTATAGAAGGCATGTAGTCTTCCCCTGTATAGTAGGAGGAATAAAGGCCCCCAAAGATGTCCACATCCTAATCCTGAGAACCTGTGAATATAATATTTTTATATTACAGAAAAGACTGTGCAGATGCACCTAGATTAAGGCTCTCAAGATGGGGAAGCTAGCCTAGATCATCTAGGTGAGCTAGTGTCATTCACAAGAGTCTGTATAAGTGCAAGTGAGACAAGGGAGTCAGAGTGAAAGAAGAAAGGATGGCAGAGTGTTCTGAAAATGGAAAGGGCCAGAAGCCAAGGAATAAGGGCAACCTCTAGAAGCGGGAAAAGGCAAGGAAGCAAATTCTCCCCATTCTGGGTACACAGAAGGCTGACTTCTGAGACTTTATATCCATAGAACTTAATTGCTAATACAGTTCCCATTCAAAATGTTAAACTTCACTTATTTCTTAGTTTTTCTATTAGCTGCTAATGCAGTGAAAATTCAGTGTTGTGAATGTGAACAAA